CAGTCCACCGTACTGCTTCCTGCAGCTCCATCAGTCGTTCCTTGTACTGGTTCCTCTCCATCAGGACCCGGGCCATCTCCACACGGGTGAAGCGTTTCCGCTGGGCCATGGGCACACCTTCCTCTTCATCCACAGACGCCACTTTGTCATTCTCCTCCTTCAGCCTAGAGTTCAAGCGAAAGAATGCCAAAATAAAATGCTCAGGTCTTTAAAAAAAATTCTTTCTCCCAACGAAATAAAACATTTTTAAAGTGATCTCACGCTTGTAAGTTGTTGGTAGTAACTTTTGTCCAGTTGTTTTGGTTCCACTTTTAGATGAGTAGTCCATAAAGACCGTTGTCTCCAACATGATTAAGGTGTTATTGTCTTTACATGGTTTCTTTTCAGACAAAAAGGAAAGATCTGTCAGATAAATTTGAGTACTTGCAAGAAAAGCACAGTAAATTTACATGTGAGTTGGTGAGATGAAAATACTGCCCACTCAAGAAATTTGGGTCTGACACGTTACTATTCCTTGTAACTCACACAGGAAGTGGATCAACGTCTGTTCCCACTAACTAAAAGACTGTGTTAGGATAACGATTTGTTCCCATTGAGAAAACCTAAGGATATGTCAGCTCCTAGGCATCAACTTACTTCTTGATTTCCTCTTCCAGCTCGGTGATGCGTAGATTCAGTCTCCCTTTGGTCGTCTGTAGACCGTTCATTTCCTGGCGCTGGACCTCAATTTCCGACATCAGCTCATCCACCTTGGCTATGAGGTCATCCTTGACAACGTTCAGGGCATTCCTGAAAACCAGAAATGACTCAGGGAGTCAGTTAGCGGTAGAGGAACATTCTTTTTTTTCTCAGTGGCCAGAGTTCCCAATTTTAAGTTGGGCCAAAAGTGTGGACTGGATTGTTTGTTTCAACCTGCTTCTGCTGATCTCCAGATATCTTTACCCTAGCATTTTCTGTATACCACATTTTCATCATTATCTATTCATACATTCACGTAGTGTCAGGAACTGTGAAGTACGCGTACACTCAAACCTCATCAACAAGAGGTCCTTTTGACTTTGTATATTACATTGGTGTAACAGGAACCTTGTATTAACAGGAATGACAACAATGAAGAACAAAGCATTGAGACCTAATAGATTTCCTTGCTATCAGAAGAATGTTGTATTAATAGTGCTCTTATTAACGAGGTTCGACTGGACAGTGTTATGGTGGCAAGTTCTCCAGCGAGGTCAGTTTTGAATTCCAGACAGGACAACGAAAGATAACCGTTTCTTTACTGTGACTAGCGAGGTCAAAGTTCAGAAAAGAGTTAAGGCGACTCACTTGGTTGCCCGGAGCTCTGAGTTTTCCAGCAAGATGTTTTCCACTTCTTTACCCATGCCTGGACAAACCGAGAGTGATATGCCTGTGAATTTCAGCAGCTTGTGGAACAAATGGCAACACCAGTCAGCAATGTATGTAACAGACAGTACAACGTGCACAGATATACAGGAGGTCAATGGAAAGTCACAGTACACATTACAGGCTATTTAAAGAGATTTCCTGAAAGGCATTTACAGCGTCATTGACTGCAAGTCTGCACAAACAGGAAAGGAAATCTACATGTACAGTGTGGAGAGAATTGGAATTACATACTATCAAACTAATGCTGAGACGGGATTCACAGTGTCTCACTAAAGAACCAAGACATTAAAAAACACATAACAAAATAAACATGCATGCGTTTGTGAACATCTAAATTGACAGTGCAAACACAACCAAAAAAAGGATGCTTTTAACAACATCCCTCCCTGGCTCCCTGCATGTCACATCTACTACCGCTGATCACTGTACATGAAGCCCACTTCATTGACCATGGAAAGACAGTCATCCCAATGGAGAAAACAGGACTGAAGAACTAAAGTAGAAGGACGCATTCACTGCAGCATTTCTTGTCAAGAGGGTAAATGCAGTCAACACTAATGGCCCACCACTCAGGCCTCACCACAATAATCAAACAGGGAGGACTCAAATGTCAAACACTTCTCTTTCTTCAAACAAAGTTCTGTGGGTTTTCCATTCACTAATATTTTGATTCTAAACACTCAGTGCTATTCCTTTGGGCAACGGCAAATGCCAGGAGTTGGGGTTTCAGCTGAATTCTGAAGTAGCTCTTTTATCTCTCAGCTTTGACAGAGCAGAGCCTGTTAGAAATATCATTTGTTTGCTTCCCTATTTATACTGATGGGAATAATTAAAGCTGCCTGTCCCCATGGACTTGTTTTTCCCTGTTGTCTGTTAACCAAGTAATGCACCATTGTTACTGCCTCTTTTGCAATCACTCAAACAGAAAACAAAAAGACACACAAGAAAAGGAAAGATAAAACTTTGAACGTGCAAACAGTACTTTACAAATCCCAAGTAAGATGCTCCATGTACATGTACATATAACTTAAAGTGAAAAAAAGGCTTCTTTGAAATTAACACTTTTGCAATATCTACGAGTACCTTTTACTCAAGGAGTCGAAAGTTAAAATCATGACATGAATTTTCCTCAACGACAAGACATATCTGAATGCCACGACATACGTTCGAGGTCTTACCGTAGAAATTATCTGGCGACATGACTGTTAATATATGCATGTTGAGGATGATGCAGCGGTTAGGAATGAGGGGAGAAGTGGAGAGAGAAAGAGAGAGAGAGTACAGCAAAATGCACGGTTAAAAGGGGAAAAAAGACAGATCATTCATCCATCATTCAAGATTTATCCAAGTTGCAGCACTACATCCCCTGTTTCTACAATCATACAGAAATTATCTGAAACTTCCCATTTTGAACAACAGAGGTAACCAATCTGGGAGGGGCAATTGGGGAAGACCTGTACCAATGACAATTGTTCAACACTGGTTTTTTTTCATTAATTTTGGACTGGATACATTTTGACTGACACTACTGCAAAGTTTAAAGTGAGCGACTTTTTTTAAAAATACTAATTCAACGTGCACTGACATGCTGCATGTTATTGTCCAGCTGAGGTATTTAACAATAATTACAAACCCTGCCACTACCACAATTGTTTGTTCCTTCTGAAAAAGCACCACATCCATGTTTTTAACAGACTCCCAATACCGCTCCTCGGTGTGATCATGCAAAGAAGAGGTGCAAAAGCTACAACGGCCCAACCTTGACATGCTGCCCACCATGCCTTGCACATACAGTAAACATGGTCAGGTGAAAAGTCATGCTTGCACAGTGTGGCACCCATTACCATGACCAGAATTAAAAACAGTAACTGTGAACATGCCACGTAGATGCAGGTCAAAGGCACACGTTAAATGCCTCTCTGACCAAAAATGTATCATCGTTGACCAACAGGCATGCAGTAATCTACGCCTAAAGTGTTCGAAGAAATGCAACATGTGTCACTGCTGTAATGACATCTTCTTGGATGAGTCCACACCACTGAGCATTCTATGAGAACTTAAGTCATAAGCGCCTTATTGTACGCAGGATAACTTGAATTAAAAAAAAGAGAGAGCTTAATCCACAGAAACAAGGTCTAGACCATGAAATGCCAACATTCAAACAGAGCTTGAGAAAGGAAGAAGATGAAACATCAACAAAATAACCACCAGAGTTTTGATAGGCCCCACAGCAACATGAAGTCTATGGTGAGCATTTGTGCTTGCCAATAGGTGCCCCATAAAATACCCATTTCTTGTCTTCTATATCAACTTTTATATGTAAAACCTTCTTATGGTAAACTCAGGACTGTCAAGATGATAAAACAGATTGTTTTAGAGATCCCAAAATAAGGGAAAACCTGAAGATAAAAAGCCTGTAATCAAGAAAAATCCTTCTAAATCTCAACCCCGATTTAAAGGAAAAGAATTTCAAATTTGCATTAAAATTTTTGGAAAGATTTACATATTCTTTGTTGGTTATCTAAGACAAAAATTAAAAAAAATTAACCCTATGTGCATGCAAATTAGTCTTGAAATTTCTGCAACTTTGATTTTGAATAAAACGACTCTGGCTACACTTCCTTGAATTTCTACAGTTCATGCTGACCCCAAAAATTGTCACAAATACAAACAGACTGCAAAGGTATTTTCGTGTGTGTCCCAGAACCAACCATCCCCTAGATGGTAGCCAACATGTGTCTGCCAGGGGTCGGGTAGGTATCATAAGTTTTGAAGAGAGCCTCAACTGAATGTTCAGTAAAAATGACCGCATCTAGAAACTGATTTGAATATTTATTCAGGTCTGGTGCAGGGTGTGTTGTAAAGACAGTTCCATTCCAGACCGATCTTGAGATATGGTGAGTGAAAATAACAGTCTTTGCTGACAGAAAATTTGGGCATGAGAAAGAAGCAGCTTCTCATGTCTCCTCTGGATGGACTTTCATCATTCAGTTCAACCCTGCCACCATTTTTCCCAAGCCAAGCACTGAAAGAAAACATCCCCGTCAGGCTGCTTCTGTGGGCCATTCAGCCCTGAACATTGGCCAAGCCAGAAACACCTGTAGTATCAAATAGTTAGTAATATGCATACAACTGGCATGGCATTCTATGGTATAAAATGGCCCTTGTCAACAGGAAGCACACCCAATATTGCATTTTTTTTACAGCCAAAGTGCTACAAAAGCATGTTTGATATGCAATTTTTCAGAACAATTTCTTTGAAAATGTATGCCAGTCATTTTCTTGTCAGTCTGATTGCACAGTATTTTCTGTTTAATTTTTTTCAAAGGTGTTCTCGACTCAACTTGGCAAAGACAAACCCTGCGCCACATCGAATGAATACATTTTGTGGGCAGATTTGTTTTAATCAAAGGAAACCCTTGAAACTGCGAACAGTGATACCATGCAGAAGATTCAGGGGAGGAATGAAGAACAGACATGCTGGGCATTTACCATCCAAACCATATGATACATCACTTTCTTCACTATCATCTTCATGTGGCAACACAACAAACATATTGAACAGAAAAAAATAAAATGTGAGCAATTATACACTTCAATAACTACACAACTATGAAACCAAACCAGATTTCCTGTTCTAATGAAATTCAATGACACAAAGTGAATGTTTTCACAGTAAGATAAACTGGAAGTGCAGGCTAGATGTTGATCTTGGAAAAGCTATTTGATCTTGCAAATTCTAACACGGAACAACATTCCCAGATGATTTTTGAAGTCTGCGTAATACAGGGGTGAGATTGACCTTAAGCTGAAACCAGCTGAAACAAGGCATCAAGAAGCTGAACTGTGAAAATATCCTATACTTTTGAAAATTGCTAGTGAGGAAAAAAAGAGCTGTAATCCAAAACAGAAAAAGCTGAAATCAGCTAAAAAGCTGAGAAATCTCACCCCTGGTAATATTTTGACAACTAACTGCAAAAAAATCACAATTTTTCAAATGCTTTATACAGAACTGTACATTTATGATCAGAGAACATAAAGTTAAAGAGATTTACAATGCAAAAAACACCACACAAGTGGGAATTTACACCATCAAAACATGACAGTTCCTCAAGGAACAGGACATCAAGGGAATAAGATTAGACAAATAAAAAAGTTCCTGGCAGTCTTCATATAAAAAGGCAAACTTTGGATATCCAAGTAAAGCAGACAAATATGCACGCATATCCTTTCCGCTGCAAGTATCAAAAGTCTGCTACTTTCAAAGTTTCTCTTTCTAGGAACATACGAGGACAGGTCTTGCTTCACCAAAGACGACAGAACACAAAGGGGAAAAAGGGTGCTTCCCCGTCTTTGATGGTACTGTAAATCTACTGTCCTCAGTGGTAATTGAATGTGGTTAGTCTAAGGGATGGTGATGTACTGTGGGAACAAAGGCAAATACAGTGCCCTCTCCTCAGTGGTATGGTAAAACATGAGTGTGTGCATACATGTATGTAGAACGGGGAACCTGTGGTGTTAGTATACGTACCAGAGAACTCGGATGGATCCACTGCTTTTTCAAACGCATGCATGGAATCAGTAGAGAGTTTGAATTGATTGAGTAGATAGTCTTCAACGGCTAGTAAAAGGTTAGATAACCAACAACTGAGTCATTCAGGCAATGGAGATGTTACAGGAATAAATTACAGGCGTTGCTTGTCAGCCATCTTGTCTGGTTTCCCATGTACTAATAGGGCAATTCTTTGCAATGCCAACCAAGTCACTGACCGACTGAACATTGGTTATAAAGCTTTCATAAGAAGCCAAAAGCAACAATGCATGCTCACATGAAGACAGACTTTGTCCCCAACAAAATCCATTAACTTCAATGATAAAGAGGTCAGAGAAGATCTTACAATTGAAATTCAAGATGGCTGCCATTCAGTGAAAAAAAAATAATGATCTTAATCTTGAAGATCTGTTCGTAATACAAGCCTCTTTTTTCTCATTCATTCATAAAACGATGCCTACGAAGTTGTCAAATATGAGTTGTATTATTTCCAATGAGATTAGTAAGGGAAGACACACACTGATAATTAGTATGACACTGAGTTAATGTTATCAACTGGGAAAGGAACACAACATGAAGATGCCATTCAAAATGCAAATCCCTTCCGTGGGAAACAATGCATGAGATGCAAAATCTGGAGTTTTATACAGGACCTGCAAATCGTTACCACGGAGACCATTTTTTTTCAATTCAAGGTCTTTACATGACAATACTTCAGCGCCAGAGGATTCTGGCATTTGTGACAGAGTGCCCCCCGTTACCTGTAATGCTGGCCCCTTCATCCATTTCGCTGATCAATGCTGGATCCAGCTCCTCGAAAATGGTAGCATTTTCCTTGCTCTCTCTGCAATGGGAAAAAAACCTAAGTCCTATTCTGAGTGCAACAGATTATTTTTGAACAATTACAAAGCACAGTTCTGAAATTTCTGAAAATCAGGAATGCACATAAAGCAGCTACATGTAGCAACAACAAAGCAAGATAAACCATTTCTACAGACTTTCTACAATATTTTGCACAATTCCATGTGGTCAACATAACACCTAGGTGTTGTTAGCGAAACCAAGGTCAGCAATTTTGCATACCTGAGAGATTACTGGGCTCAGGGACATTTAAGAGCAATACCCACTGAATAAGAATCTTTAGCTGGTAAATGGACGCAAAGTAAATATTGTATTTATGAAGAGTCAGGCAGAAAACAATTTCTGAACAAATACAGGTACCGGTACTCGTTACCAGTTAAAACCATTTGTCAGCTAACCTGTCTTATAGGGTATACTGCCTGCAACTTCCTTCAAACTAAAATTTGACCGGTGCATAATTTCCAAAGGAACAGCATTGATGATTCCATGACGTGAGATCCCATTTCAAAAAGCAGAAGTTCGCAGAGCCAAACAGATTTGTCCGAGTTGGACAAGCTGAAGGATTTTTTTACTACAGTGATGGTGTCCCTTACCCTTTGCTGTCTGATATGTTTGTTGGTCTCTCTGTCTTTTTGCCCTGCAGCTCTGGTGTGCTGTCGACAATGGCAGCTAGCTCTGGACTCATCGTGCGATTATCCTTCTGTGGACTTGTGACTGAAATAAAGTAATGATGAATGTGAGTCCACGTTTCAGACATTACTGCACCACAACAACGAGAGTGATTGTTCAAGATGGCTACCGCAATCTTTGGCATTATTTCATATCTGTATATGCAAATATGCACCTTATATTAACCTGATATGCACTCTTTATATTAATTATGAGTGTATGTATGAAAGAACCATGTGGTTACGCAAGCCACGTACAGCATAGTGTGATGTAGTGTGATGCAGTGAAGACCTAAATATCTAAACTACGTCACATAGCAGTTTTATTGGACTTCAGTTGACAAAAGTCGAGAACACAACTTCTTTCCAAATGTTCTCTTCAAGCACTGGCTATGTTGAGGACAACCTTTAACCTGCAACCTGACCTTGGTACCTGTGGCAGCATTGCTGGTATCCACCCCCGCCTGTGTCTCAATATGCTTCTGGGGAGTCTTCTTCACTTTTTTACCGTCCAAGGTCTCCCGGTCTGGTGAAGTCATAATCTCGTGGTGCAGGTTGGAATCATTGGGCTGCTCGCTAGGGACGAAGTTCTTCGGGGGTGTGGTAGGTGAGTGCAGGGCGTCAGCCAGCCTGGTGTCATTTGGGACCCCGACCATGTCCTGCTCCATGAGGATGGGAGAGTGGGGACGGTTGAGGTTCAGCCTGGAAAACAATATGCGAATCAACACGGGACCGGTTAAAATACTCCCATTTAGCACATTAATAAATGTTGCCATGCAAATTACGTGCAGCGTCAAGACTGGATGAGGATACGTGTAGGGAAAACACCTTTGTGTAGAGAGTGGTGGCCACATGCTGAGACAAGGGAGGGCAGAGGAAAAGTTTTCAACAATACATTGCAGTGTTAAGTGACTGGTACTGTACATGCAAGACAGACAGGGTGATTGAATGATTTGAGCAGCAGTGAGGGGTTTGAAAAGACAGAATGAAAAGGCCAGTTCATGCCACAGGCGAATGTTAAAGTGAAGCAAATATGATGTCACAACAGATTTGCAGCAAGATTTCGCTCCAGTTGAAATGTTTTGGACTTTTGCAAATTCACAGCACAAATATTTGATCTGACATCACAAGTTCCCGCTCGTGTATGAACTGGCGTTAAAGGAGGACCTTTATAGGCTTTCCACACAAAGTAACCCTCTTGTGTTGAGAATGCACACTTCCCTATTTCGGGAAGGCATGATCCTTGCTGCATACTCTGTGTTTAGCTGCTGCTGTATGAACTTGAAGCAGTCTGAGGTTTCATGAATGCTCAAACCACATGTTCATGATTGAGTTGATGTGTACCAACAACACACCCTATAGACTGAGAAACATCACTCTCAACACTCATGCACAAAGCCTATACAGCTGGACCAGGAACCAATGGAAGATGACTGCGTACTGTTGAAAGTGAAAAAGGATAGGCTAATAGTTTACATGCAGCTTCTACCATGTTACTTCATGTAGGTACACAAGTGTACATGTACATTCCAGCAACAACTTTGATTTTGTTCTTTCTTTTTACCAAGCTTGTCAAGTAGAGTAACACTGAGTCATCTTTTAGATGATCAGTATATCACTAAGTGGACTAGCAAGCTTTACCACTGGAAATCAAGAACATATCCAGAGCAATTTTTTTTTTGGGGGGGTGGACTTGTTTGGAGTAATAGATTAAAAATTGGGATATTTTTTCATGTAATCAAGCAGAGGGGTGATGCAACATTATGGGGCTTTTTGTACATTTTGGAAGGAAGGGAAATGAAATAGACCAGAAACAAATCTCCTCTCTCTTATCTACCATATGTCTCAAAAAAAAAAAAACCTGGCTTCTTTTTGGGAGGAAGGCATGGCTCTGTTGCCTCCCTTCAGATCTGCCCTTGTTGAAAATCAATACAATAAAACAATGCTTTGACTTTAATGCTGCAATGAACATTTCAGAATTGCATATCAAGGCTAAAAGGAGTTTTGACTGTCTCCACTACACTGACCCACAGTACATGTGCATTGAAAATATGACTTCAGCCAAAACAAAGGTGCGAGACAGGACAGTATATTCAAGTATTTGTTTCTCCCTGAGGTTCAAAACTCAATTAGAACTTGGTTAATTCATACATGTGCATGTCAAATGTGCAGAGATGATAGGGTGGCAGAGCAAATTAAATTTGCAGTTACAGAATTTTTGTGACTGCAAATCTGCATAAGGTATAAAACAGGAAAGGTTAGCAATGATATCCACTATCAACGTTCCTCTATTTGCCAACATAATTGTAATTTAAGTGAATGTGTTGCAGTGTTAAAATATAAATTATAGAACCTGACATTTGTGAAGAAGCAAAAGAAAAGAGTCAAAAATGTGTGAGTATGCCTTTAAAGCAGACGTGACATCAGGGCAAGAGATGTGCTACACATACCATATAGCAGCGACAGACAGTTTTTTAATTGCACGGTTGCTGTTTACAAATAAAATATTTCCCTTTTGTTTTTTTCAAAAGCTGTGAGCTTACATTTCAAAGGAAAGAATTCCAAACTTTCCTAGTTTTGTACCAATGAATTATAGAAGCAAGGACATGTTTAACATTCTCAATGCTGCAGCTCAATCTCAATATATACGTATCTGAAAAATCCACTGCTCTTTTTTTTTCATTTACACAGTCTGTATTCACAATTTCAACAAGAGTACTGACACTGTTTATGTGTATGCCTTCGAAATTGATTTGTTGATAAAAAGGGGAATATTTCTTCATTTTTGCACTGATTTATGCTACAATGAATGAAAGGAAGAACCCAACACCACAAGTGCTGACACAACAGAGAGTAGATGAATTTCAATTCCAACTTAGCCTTGATTTTGTTTTGTTTTTTTCATTGCAAGGGCCGAGCAGCCTAAGCACAAGCCAATGACACAAAGCCAACTGCCTAAAATTGTAAACACAATGCATGAAGGCAAGAAGAATCTGCAAAGAGAGAAGAGGTAAAGACGGGAGGAAAAACAAGAACAGTCATGGGTTACCATCCAAGTTACATTCACAGGCATCAAGTATATGTACATACTGTACATTGTTTATCACACTTCTGACACCATTTAGAAACAGCAATCAGTTGATCAATTACATGTAGGCACACAATCAGGTAATCACTAAAGTCAGCAGTCATTAGCTTTAAGCTTATTCCAACTGTGTCAAAACTGATGATCCCGCTTCTGACACCACTTGAAAGTATTTTAAGGCAATCATTCACTTTAGCAATAATGAAATATCATGAGTGCAGTTCAATATGATAGAGACAAGAGCATTAAAATGCTGAAACTTGGCAATAGGCACAAGAAATTATTTTCCTGTTCTGTAAGTGCCTTGCATGGTAGAGTGGAGATCAGAAGTCAAAGTTTAATATTTTATTACCTATGAGTTGCAACTGGGTCTCATTATCACAATGGTAGGAAACACAGTCCCGAATATGAAATAAAAATATACATTTAGGCAATGTATGCAATAAACCAGGTGTCTCCTGACTGCTACCCTGTACAATGCAGCAAAGTATATTACTGGTACTGTGCATGCTGGTATATGGTTATGAAATTATCACGGGACCGGTTTGAATGACACACATCATCTGTATCATCATCGTTTCCTCATATCAGCGTGACAAACAACATGTGAAAGCTATTACGGTTTGCATTGCAAAATGAATGTAGGAGTTTCACTGCCATTATTAATTTGATCACGTTTGACTTGACTTTAGATTTTCAACAAAACAGAAAAAAATAAAAGCTTGATGAGACAGTGAAATTCTACGCTCAATGTTGAAAAAAAATGACATGTTGCAAGTACATTGTATTATCTTCATGCAAACTTGAATTCTTAGTTCTGATTGGTCGATCCATGGTAAAAAACAGTGTGATATATATAACCAGATTGCATGGTTCATATCAAACCCTGGGTAATGTGCTGTTTTAACTCAATGCATTGCGCTATTTTTACGATAAAAGCGAATGCACATCTGCATGACTATAAATTCAAAAGTGGCATGTTTGCCATGATCGTCACATGTGTTTAAATGCACTTACAATTCTAACAATTTCCTTTCTTAGTAAGCTTGGGCGGTTCCGGTGGGTACCTTGTTCTACCCGGTTCCAACATCAGGAACCGGCACTGGATATCAGTATTTTTCAGAACCGGGTACCCATAGAGGAGTCGGTTCCGAGTGGTTATTGATTCCTACCGGGTACCAGCAGTAGAGTGTTGAAACCGAAGCATCACTAAAAGCTTGGTTCCGGAACCGAATTTAAGCGAGGAAACCAAGTCTTGTCTTATGCCTGGTTACACCTCGAACTCAGTTTAGCTTGCTTGAAGTGTATGCTTTTGCCAAAAAAATCCCAAAAGACATAGGGGTGCATTTGATTTTTTCCTGTTTCGGACATAACACACGGTTGACCTGTTAGACATCATAGACATGCATGATTTGAAATGCATGCATGGTCAATAATTGCGTTCACCTAAATGTCTGACGGTTGTCTTTTTTATTCAGCTTAACTTGCATCATGGCTTGTATATACCGAGTAAGGAAGCAAAGAACTACCAGGCTTCAAATTACCGGTATTTTTTCATTGTTGAAAAAAGAAAACTGTGTTTTGTGTTTTTTATTTAAGGGTTGAATATAATCCTGTAAGATTTTCGTAAAATATAACTGCCTTGTCAAGTGCCCATCAGCAGCCCCGATCCCACCGCCTTGAGCTTGTTTCAGTGGCCCCAACATGGACAGTTGTAAAGAAGGTGTGCCGCGTCAATCAAGGGGACTAAAATAATCAGCCAATGACAATACCACGTGTACTCCATCCGGGGATTCACTGCTTCATTGGCTTGCCTTATATGGAAGGTGGGGGCGTGTTTATTTGGTGAAATCGAACTACGGTGAATGCGCACGCAGCTTGTGGGCCGCAGATCGAATGCGCACGTTACTTACTTTCAGACTAGACTAGACTTTATTACAAGTCTCTTACGTGTAGAAGGAGAACGACACTCCGATTGGGGTTTGCAGCTTTCACATGGGGCTGCGGCACGCGGATCCAGACTACAGTGAAATATGAAGAGATATAACGTGTTGAGGCATGTCTAGAGTGGCAAGCTGCGTGCTTTGTTTTGGTGGTCGATGGGCAGGGCTATGTGGCTGCGCTGGTTGCATAATGGCGCCAGCAGGCAAGACCGCTATCAATATGTACATGATACATGTAGGTGTACGGTGTACAATGTACATGTACAGTACGCACGTGTACAGTACATGTACATGTACACGGTGTACTTTATGGCTTTGCCTCAGCAGCTCAAGTCCGATGACAGAGAGCCGGCGCAAATTTCAACTCCTAAAGTCAGGCATGAGCTCTCATTCCTCCATGAGTCAGATAAGTTTCAAGAAGTTCATGCAAATAGACATTGACAAACATATTTTATAGCCACCTTCACAAATTCAATGACTTTACAAGGACACAATAATGGCAGACATAGAAAAACCTTTGACCTTAACTTTGTTATGTTTTTCTTTGAATTACTTGGAACTGGTTCCATAAACGGTGGAACTGCCCAAGCGTATTTCTTAGTGTAAACCCTGTTGTTATTGAAACAAGTTCAAACACAAATAATTCCCACGCTCCCCAGATAAAATTACAGAGTTGTGATCAATGTTACTGTTCTTGTCTGTGTCCCGTATGATATCTTTTGTCTTCTTTCTTGACGTAAAGCACGCATAGGCCACTTCACTTTCTTTACTGCCCGTCAAGTTTGCTTGAAGATAAATTCATTATCACACTTGCGCTCATGAAACAAGGAATAATGTGGAGTGTCAGTGTTCCACATGCCACGGGGCCGCCTTGTGGCATACGGCATGTACGGGACACAGACGCACTACATTATTCCTTGTTTCACGAGCACTCGTATGATAACTAATAATGTACCGTGTTACATGTACATGTAGTACATGATACTTAATCATTTGATATTGCTTTCCATTTAGAGGGTTACTGCTGCATGTATTACCCACACATATGTACATGTACACATTGAAATACAAGTGTATTCAGTATCTAGATACTTCCAATTCCATTCCCAAATCATTTATTTTCCCTCTCATTTCTATCCCGATGCAAGTCCAGGTGTACTGTGCTGTGAACCAGCACACTCCTATACCATCAGTTGTACAGGGATGAAGGGCAGAAAATATATGACTCATACAGGTCCGTTAAGAACTTGGCCACGGATGCTTAATATGTATGTCAGAAAATCCAAGTTGCTACAGCACTCCATGACAAAATATGTAATGTCAAAAAAGAGGGGCTGTTTTGACAACATGGTTCCCACATACAGTATTCTTTGCCAGAGTGGTATAACACACATGTATATGACATCTTCTGTTCAATGAACCGTGAGATATCAATTTGTAGAAGTGGAACATTTTCATTGTAACTGCATATGCGCTTCTCATTTAAAATTTCTGGATTTTATTCAATCTGGCCTTAAATTCTGAACACTGTCATGGCTGTATGTGATGGCCCGGTTTAATCTTGCATCAAGAATAGTGAAAGCACTGTTATGTTCTATGGTATTTTACAGCATGTTAAAAATCAACTTTGGCTCTTAATCCAAATCAGTCTTCTAAATCCGCAGTAACCACTCAGTTGAGAAAAAAAATCAAATTATGCACTGTGAGTACTGGCGATAAATAACAATGACATTCCTGAAGAAAAGATGTCAAGAGGGTTTAAAACTGAAAATGCCAGCTTCAATTTAAGCCATTCCTCGCCTATACACCGTACAGTCATCTGATTTGCTAGGGTATGTATCACCAGGCAATGCAGTAACTTTTAAAGCCCTCTTTTACGGCTGTGCACGACACCCATGTAATTAGAAATTTCGCCTTAAAAATGGACCGCCTACAACCCTTTAGACTCACTTGAATAACCTGGGACTGCCAACTGTATCAGGCTGGCCCACCATCTTCAGCCGCTCAACATGTTCCATGTACTTCTGTAGGACCTGGAACAGAAATCAAAACGATCAAACAAAATTGACAGACTAACAGAAACATACACCCGTACATAACTGTAGCCCCATCCCCCAACAAAACACCCCACCACATACACACCCCTACCGGTAACTGAGGGCAAAGGGGTGAAAAGAACAAGCTGAACTTCAGTGTAAGGCATAATTATATGCTTTAAAGTAATAACTCTTTTTTTGGTGGGAGGGCGTAATGTTCATAACGGTTGACTGCAGAGGAAAGGGTAAAGGGCAAAGGAAGGGTTTAAAGGATGACAACAACGATCCTCTGACTGAACACAGTACCTGCATACCCCACAATCGTGGACGGTGAACAAAAGAATTAATGACTGTCTACGATTTCCAATACGTCCACCATTGCCAAACGTGTACAAAACATATTAGAGGCCTTCCAAAAAAGTTAATGAACAAAAGAGGACAATAGGAACGTCCACGATTGCCCAAAAAACACGTTTTCATGCACATGTATGGTACAAAGTTTGTTCAAGTATTGTTTGCCACAAGGGCATACATGTACATCAGACACTGAGCTGCCATTTAGACTTTAAGAGTTTATTTCGATAGCTCTTCACTTAATGAGGAAGTTACATGTAAGCATACACACGAAACCATCAACTTCTCAGTAGCTACAGTTCCTGATATAATAGATTAGACAATTCACCAAAAAAAACCCTGAAGCAAAAGCAACTTCAAAAGCACTGTGATGCACAATACAAGAAAACTTCCTGTTTTTTGAAACACAACAGCATTATGAAACTTGAGCCGGAAAAAAAGCAATTCAATAATTTGCCTGTGACAACAAACGTCCCTCCAGAGGCTAAACAGAGAGTGTGAAAATCCCCATTGCTTTTGATTTTAAACCAGGCTACCACTGGGACAACTGATGTGAACAAAAGATATGATTCATTTCACTGTACACTGTGCACGTACATGTACATTCATGTACATGTAACTGTTAACATGCAGACCTCTACATGTATACATACATGACATGTGTAAATTGTGTTTGTCATTAATAAAGATGACGTTGTTTTGATGCAATGTGCAATGACATGCAATGAATCTGGTGATAATATACAGGCACATGGGTATGAAATCTCATCAATTATTAATGCATTACAAAATATTAAAACTGTTCAAGTTTGTCCATCGAACCGTGTACATTTTAAGTTGCTTACATCATTCGGAACTTCTTTATCTTGTTTTTTTTTCATTTCATTCATTATTTTTTAGGTAAGACAAAACAAACTACAAGCACATATACAATCAAGAAACAATTATTAAGACAGGAAATGGCAACGGCACCCCTGAGGGACTGCCAAAAAGCGAACTAAATCACGATCAAGTGGCTCTCCCAAATGCTGAAACCAAACAGAGAGAAGAAAAAAACATAAAACAAAACACCGCCAAAAGAAACCCCCCTCCATGAATTACACAAACATGAACAACATTTAAGCAAATATGCATACATGCAGTAATTTACATGTACCTTAAAAAAATACAAAAGAAAAAAAATACAAGTAAAAACATGCACAAAGAGATCTACATGTATGTACAATTAAAATATTATACAAAACACTAAACAAGTGTGTTCTGTACTAACAAAATATTCCTCTTTAAAACATAATCCCTAAAGCTATAATAAACAACTGTTTAAAGAAAGCCATACAAAATATACATGTAAATACATGTATTGTAATACGATCCCAAGAAATATTGAGACCTGTTGATATCCCTTTTGACTGGGAATGTACACACTATAGAGTATGTGCAGGGGAAGGACTTTGTTTCATTTACTGAGAAAATGATAATAAGAAAATAACGGTGGGGAGCCATCGGGAAATAAGGCATGAATCTGTAAAAAGAAATAATCACACACAGATATTTGGATTGTACATGGGAGCATTATTGGGACTTCACAGAGGAAATTCATTCATGCAAGAATTAGCCACTGCCATCTACTGTCCTTTATCACACCACACACAGTATGATCATAGAGCTACAACCCAGCTCTATTGTAGCTCTATGGTATGATGAATCTAAGCATCTGAATACACTGCATGCACAGCAGCACCCCGTGGGGATGTACACAGAGAATGTAAGCCTCTGTACACTGTGAATATTCATGAGGTCAAAGTGCATCCATACACAGCACACCAAGTGGATGGTCTGAAAGTAACTTTTAAGACAATGCTCCCCATTCAATGGAGGTATCTGCTCTGGACACTTTTTTTTCCATACAGAATTTTGTGATGAATTAGAATTTAGTTGGTAGTCTCAAACCTTTGGATGATTTGTTGTATTGATGAAGAAATATCTGTCCCACAACCGTGACAGACGTGGACCATAAGGACAACCTGGTCTTTGAAAACCATTACCTTGATTAAAAAGGGTTTTTGCCTCTTATGGCACATAAGCTGCCACCAGGTTGCTTGTGCGGAATCGCTAGCAAGAGATTTCGGAAACATAATATTTGGAAATAGTGGCTGTCAGTTGTCAACTGCACTGGCGCCCTAATAAATAAGCAAAGGACAGAATGAAAACTGGGTAAAGGATTTTCAATTTTTTTCCAGGTCAGAAACGAAACAAAGTAGAATAAGTTCATCTCAGAATTTTCTTGGGCTAGTTAATTAGCCTCCAATGGCGACAAGGAAATAAAACTATGCAACCTTTTATGGTCACATATAGTTAGCTGGAAACCTCTTCCAAAATAAAAGAGGTGTTTGCAGACCAGTGTTGTAGGTCTCAAGACCTGGTCTTGGTCTCAAGACCTTTTTTTGTGGTCTCGGTCTCACCCTGTCGAAGTCTTGGTCTTGGGAGCGCCAGTCTCGTTCTTGGATGCCATAGTCTCGGGTCTCCCCCTCAAGCATCTAGCTACCACGCATGCATGTGGTTGTAGAAGGCAAAATTACTTCCACTCGAGTCAAATCTTCAACCACTGATATAAATACAACACAGTAATGTTAAGATTTTTTGTAATAAACAATGAAACAGATGCTGGAATGAAGACGAGTCAATGCAGCATGATGCAACCTTGTCCCAAGTTGTTACTTTATTTCGAATCCAGAGTAGCCATGCTGCTTGACACCATGGAGATGAGGCTGTGACTAGCGGAATTCGCACACTAGACTGGTTTCCGTTCCCTACGTAGTCTCCTGCTGAACGTAGGGCCGGGACGGGAACCAGTCTGTGTGTGTGCACACGCTATGAATTGTGTGCACGTGTGAAAGTGTTTCTTTTCTGTCTTGTATGTGGTACTTGTTACATACATGTAGAGGGCGCTGCACCGCGGCGACCACCCAGTGCACCAACGGCTTTACTTTTTAAGAAAATTAAAATCTTTTTATGTTAGTAATGAGATTTTAAAGCTTATCTCTCAGAGCACGGTTCAGTCAATTATAACCTTTTGCTGTATTAGCTGGTTTAACTCACTCTCCTTGTGTAATCGTGGAAAACTCCATCGCATAGATAAGCAAGCCCGGAGGATTATTGGGGTCGATTTTTTGGGTATACAAGAAATCGCCCAATGTCATGTTACCACAAAGTTCAATGAAATATCGTCTGATTCTACCCACCCCCTCAATCCTTTCATTATTCGGAATCGATCTGGTAGGGTGCACCAACTTGCACTCAAGACAAACACACTCAAGTCATCTTTTTTTGCCATGGGCCATTGATATTTGTAATTCATCTTTTACTAGATAGGCCTAATGTGTACTTTTAATCTATTTTATCTTACTAGACTGTAATTTTTGTGTTGATTCCACCGTTCCAGTGTTTTTCATGCTTTTTTATGACCCTTTATGAGTTTGTTTATACCCCTTGCACCCCCCTCCATCCGCTCATTTCCCTCCCATCCCTCCTCCCTATTTTTTCAACCTTCCTGTATTTGTGTTCCTCCATCGTTCCCTTCCTTACAATTTTACCCCATCGTCATTGTAATTCTGGATCTGTAAAATGTGTATTGTTGTAATTGTTGTAACTGCGTGTATCTATAATCTATTGGTATTTTTTGGTTGAATATTTTAATATGTGTTTTAATGCTAATCTTATATTGTACACTGGGGAGGTAACTTTTGTGCTTTTTATTCTTCTGTTCTGAGCATGACAATAAAGGTTGGAATATTAGAATCTTGGTGTTGTTTTAGTAATTTCGTTACGGTACATCTTTTTTGGATATTTGTTTTTCAGTATTTTGCTTAAAAAAAAACAGTCTAAGGATATTTATTTCAATGTTCACATCATATCATTTGGGACACTCGGGTTGAAAATGACCAGATCAGGGTAAAAGTAGAGCAGTATCACTGATAAAAGAACTGAGACATTCTTTAACAAATATTTGACCTATTTGTGTGTGTGTGTTTATGTTAATGTTTTCATTTTATTTCTTTTGTACTTAATTGTACTGCCATATGTTTGTCCCTATTTACCTTTTGGTAAAAACTAGACATTGGTTTATGGTTGGTCTCGGTCTCAGATGTCATGGTCTCCGTCTCGACCTGCAAAAGTCTTGGTCTCAGTCCTGGTCTTGGTCTTGAAGGAGTAGGTCTCGGTCTTTGGTCTCGTATGCCTTGGTCTCGGTCTCGGACATCAAGGTCTTGGATACAACACTGTTGCAGACTGTATTTCCTGTTTCGCATGAAATGGTACGGTAACATTCACCCATGTTAGGTTTGCATTCCTAGTTGTAACACATGACATCTGTTTTTTGAACTTTCCAGATTTTACTTGGTTAAGGCTTGGACTATTGGACAAATTAAGCAGTGCAAAATTGCACAGGGAGGCACTGGTATGAAATGCACCATACATGTAATACAATAGAGTCCTGGAAAGAGTCACTCAAATAAGTCCCTGAACGACAATGGGCAAAACTGATTGCATCGAAATGTGGAATCAGAGCACGTCGTGTCAACAGTCTCATGTTACCCCGACAGGGTACCTTATGCCCCTCATGATGCATACATGTAATTGGCAAA